AAGTGACCCATTTTACTCACTGTTCACTTCTGTGGGCTGGATTTCAGATCATTGCTGTAGCAATGTGGTACAAAAACACAGAGCTGAATTTGAACATTTTTTTTCAGATTATTGTTTACTCTGGTATCTGATGCTGTGCAGCTGGAAGGATTTTTACTCAAACTTTTTTACTTTTGGACATTTGTTATGATGCGTAACCATAACAATAATTTTTTTTTTTTTTAACAATCGGGAGCAGCTAATTATCAACTCAAAGCCCACATAATATCTCAACTACAGCCCCAAATCCCAAATGCGTTGAAAAGGAGGCGCCGTGGACGCATTCCAATCTACCTGCCGGCTGTGCTTGAGTGCCTGACCACTGAGATCCTGGAACTAGCAGGAAATGCTGCTCGTGACAGCAGAAAGACCGGGATCGTCCCCCGACACCTGCAGCCGGCTGTCCACAGCAACGAGGAGCTCGGCAAGCTGCTGGGAGGAGTGGCCATCGCTCTGGGAGGAGTTCTGCCTGGCATTTGGGCGGTCCTGCAGCCCGGAGGAACCGAGAGGCCAGCCGAGTCTGGGTGGACGGATCGGACGGCATCTGCAACCAGTTTCTTAGGATCTGCTGTGGGCCAGACCTATACAAAAGATCCTTCATGCCTTCAGCCATCAGTATCTATAGCATCTCTTGATGAAACGAGGATAATGAGTTACAACAACATTTAATTTAACAACACAGTGAAGAAGTCTTTTTTTGTATTTTTACAAGTTCTAATGGAGAGTTAGAGGCATTTTATTGGTAATTTCACTTTTTTAACTAATGGCAAGGTTTCTCCTCAACTTTCTTTTAGAATTCCATGTTTCTTTTTTTTTACTTTATACTTGTGAAATACAAACTTTTCCACACTGCATGTAAACGCTCAAATAATCCATTGAGAAACTATAATAAAACTTTTTTTTTTTACAAACTTTCCTGCAGGGTCTTGAAAGGTATAACTTGGTTTCCAGTTTTGAACAAATATACTTTAGTACCTGACTCAATTCCCTACTGCATTTGCTAAAATGAAAATCAGAGGAAAAACAAATAAACTGGCATTCTGAGTCTGAAAATGTGTGGTAGTTTAGAAAGGAAATGTGCTGCAATCTTATTATATTTATCAGTGTGACTCATTTGTTGTTAAAGGAACAAGCTGTGGTTGTGTTGCAGAATCCTGGGATGTTTAAAGGACTCATTCAGAAAGTAAACCCCTTCAAGTCTTCTGCTCAGGTACTGACTCTACATTTACACTGGTTCAAGTTCAAGAATCTTTATTATCTTCAAGGGGCAATTTGTTTCACATTCATCCATCCATCCATTTTCTTCCACTTATCCGGGATCGGGTCGCGGGGGTAGCAGCCTAAGTAGGGAGGTCCAGACTTCCCTCTCCCCAGCCACTTGGGCCAGCTCTTCCGGGGGAATCCCGAGGCGTTCCCAGGCCAGCCGAGAAACATAGTCCCTCCAGCGTGTCCTGGGTCTTCCTCTGGGCCTCTTTCCGGTGGGACGTGTCCTGAACACCTCACCAGGGAGGCGTCCAGAAGGCATCCTAAACAGATGCCCAAGCCACCTCAACTGGCTCCTCTCGACGTGGAGAAGCAGCGGCTCTACTCTGAGTCCCTCCCGGATGATCGAGCTTCTCACCCTGTCTCTAAGGGAGAGCCCAGACACCCTGCGGAGAAAACTCATTTCGGCCGCTTGTATCCGAGATCTCATTCTTTCAGTCACAACCCAAAGCTCGTGACCATAGATGAGGATAGGAACGTAGATCGATCGGTAAATTGAGAGTTTCGCCTTTTGACTCAGCTCTCTCTTCACCAAGACATATCTGTACAGCGCCTGCTTCACTGCAGATGCTGCACCTATCCGCCTATCGATCTCACGCTCCATTTTTCCCTCATTCGTGAACAAGACCCCAAGATACTTGAACTCCTCCACTTGGAGTAGGACCTCCTCCCTGACCCGGATGTTGTCAATGTAGTGAATGTTTCACATTCAGTAGACACACAAAACATCCATACTGCACACAATACTTTGAGACATTAAAATAACAGTACAGAAATCATTGTTTGTTGAGAAGCCTGATCTCTTCAGGGATGAATGAGTTTTTCAGTCTGTTCATTCTACATCTGGGCGGCAGATACCTGCGTCCAGATGGAAGCAACCTGAACTCACCATGGAGTGGATGATCAGGATCTGCCAGAATCAGACTGGCCTCACTGACCTCTCCTTGTGGAGGTCAGTGAGGTTCTGCAGGGCTATGCCAGCAGTTTTGCTGCACATCCTGACAATCCCTGAGAGTTTGTACTCGTTATTGCATACTTGAGTTTGAATACTTTAGTGCAAATTTCAGGTATAAAACCAGTAAACGTTCTGAGATCATATGCTGACTTTACAAGCACATAAAGGTCTTCAACTTCAAGGCATCATTCTCACAAAATGACAAGTTTCCTTTCTGTTTGAACATTTTTGTATTTAAGTTGCCCAAGAATCCTGAAGACATTACTGCAAATCCACAGGAGCCTGACCGAGTGCTCGAGGACAAACAGGTAGACTGCATTACAGCCTGTAGTATTCACTTAAATAGAGACACACTGGAATGGCCAACAAATGCACAGTCTATAGTAACAACAGTTGGTATAAAAAACAAACATTTGTGCTGCCATCTTGTTTTTGTGCTACATGGGTATAGTTAGTGCCAGAACGGCCTCATGTACTAGAGCCCGACCGATATGGAAATTTTGGCTATCGTCGTTATTGATATTGGAAGGATGGGGTGGAATATTGATAATCGATATAACGGGTGGAAATTTTGTAGCTTTGTCCACCCCCAAGAATCTTAGGTAAACATCGAATGGAGCGGGGCTTGTTTATTTAGTGGAGCTGTTATCAGCCATGAAGCTAAGCAGATCCACGCTATACGTAGTCACACAGTAGGTTTACAAGTGGTGCACTGGTCATAAAACCAGTCTTCCTAATGTGCGTTCAAATTTTCTATCCTCCACTATTCACCATAAAGTTATCAAGTGTGCAACAAAAATATAAATTAAACAAAGAAACGTTATGTATGGTGAAGGTCTAATTAGTATTGACCGCAGCAGAGTTTTTTCTTTGTAGAGAAGTAAAGATTTCAGACAAAAAATGCATTCCATTGAGGACGGCAAAGATAATATTACTAACACTGGATGTCGTCACAAAATGGAAGCTCACTCCAACAGGACTGTGTTGCTATAACTACTTTTAATGGGGCTAATGTTGTGAAGGTGGTGCAACTGAACACTAACGTTAGCTTGTTAACTTCAGAGGCATGTAGCCAATGATTAGTGGGTTGGAGGATTGAAGAGAATTTATTATTGCTGATTTTTTTTTTCATTTTACAGATCAGTTAAAATAAACTTACCGTGCTCTGTTCAGCAAAATATGCCACACAGTATTGCTCCCTGCGTTGGCTGTGCTGAATGTGAAAGTGAAACTTAAGTGAACCGCCATGACTAGAAAGTAGTCTTCATGTGCCCTCTGTACAATTACAGCTGGTTTCGGCATTTTAGGGGTGAAAATTAGAATTTTTGACATCAGCACATAATGGAACAATTATCACCAACACCACTAGGCCCCCTAACGTCTATATCGGCCTAAAATATTGGCCCTACTGATATATTGGTTGGGCTCTACTATATACGACACTTTGTTTAGTCCAGATTCATATAGGTCAGACTTACTGCAAATAGGAAATGGATATTTTTTTTAAAGAACTTTTTGAAGCTAACCAGTACCCTCAAGTACTTTACAACACAATCTGTGCCCTCATCTACCCAGCATCTGCATCATCGGCACATCTCTGCAAAAATAATCTTAATAAATCATTCTGTATCAGTGTTTCAGATTATATTTATTTGCTGATGGCTCACATCGGTGGCAGTAAGGAGTTCAGTGTCTTGCCTAAGTACACTTTGACATGTGGTGGAATCAAACCTCCAAACTCTCTCATTGGAGGACCACCCTCTAACCACTGAACCACAACCTCCATTTGTGTACAGACAAGAAGGCACGTTAATGTAAAAGTATGGAAACGTGTACTGAATGGTCAAAGACAGTTTGATACGGGAATAAGAATATAACATTAAATTGGCCTTAATGAGTTTGTCATATATGATGTACCGGTACATGTTTGTAATTTAAAAGCTTGAAGGCTTTTCGAAAACTGTGCAATACGTAATGTCTCATTAGGCAAAATAATTTAAATTGTTTCTTTTTTTTTTTCCAGTGGAAAACCTCTGATACACTATATTATTTTACGTCATCACTCAGTCATGACTGAACTGCTACAGTTACTGTAAAGCAGGGTACTGAGGGTCAGCAAACACCAGCTAACTGAAAAATATATCACGAGTATTAGTACCATGTTGTTTTAAGTATTACATAAAATATACCACATATTTTATGGGTAAAATATTTAGTAAGTAAAAGTGAATTTGTGTCCAGACAAAGATTTTATCCCAGTAGTGGTAGAGCTTTTTGTCTCTGTGACCAGGCTTGTTTAGAGGTTTATTACAGAGTAATCTCGTTTTCTGTTTCTATATTGAGCATGAAATGTTTTTTTAAGATAGATTAATTATATTTTATGTGTTTGAGATTGATTACACAGTATACAGTGCACACAAGGTGTTACCAATGTGTGGTTTCACCACGTAGAAAGAACAGTGAGACACGGAGCACCTAGCAAAATGGCAGCCAGAAATCTCATCATCTCAGTGTATGTTTCAGTGGTGGTGTCCATGAATGTGTGAGCTTCATCATGCTTCATTGTTTAGAATCCAGGGATGATGAGAGGCATGATTCAGAAAGTCAACCCATTCAGATCCTCCCAGCCAAAGGTGATGTTTGTTCACGTCGTAACAACCACCAGAGTTTTATTTAAATAAAAAAAGAAACTTGTCAAGCTCAATTCTTTTTTTTTTTTTTTTTTTTTGGCTATTACCTTTCAGGAGACCCGGCCTCCAGAAACTGACCTCTCCTCCAGCAGTGGAAGCTTAGTGGACCACAGCGTACCAGTGAAGCAGGTAGAATATCCCGGTGGCCGACGGGTGCAAACGAGTTGCAAACAGCTAAACGTGCAGCAAACACATGAATGATGCAAACTTCTAAACCATCAAAAAAAATAACGTAAAGAAAAAATGCTGCAAATATCAAAATCACTAAAAAAAAACACCAAAACAGCTGCAAGTAAGAAATGCTGCAAACTCACTGCTCAAAACAGAAGTTCACCAGACCAGTAGGGGGACTCATCCACCAAGTCAACTGGAACCAGACCCAGCTGTAAACACATTCTAGCTGAGCGGACATTTTCTCAAGTTATAAAACTTTCATGGTCTGCAAGGATATTTAAAATCTGTCAACTAAAGAGAGGTTTTGGTGATGTAAGGAAACATAAAGTAGCTTCTGTAAAAGCAAGACAGAAAATTAAACATTGGTCAGATCTTGGCTTTCAATCATGTAATTTACTATTTCATACAAAAGTCAGAGGCAGTATCAAGATAAACATGAAAAAGAAAGTATTAGAAAAAATTTCCACATTATGAAATTTTGGGGGGTAGAGGTAGCAAAACAAGAAGTTAGTCCAAGTAAGAAGGATTGAAACATTTCTAAGATCTGCCACTGTAAAGTAGAAATACTCCTAATAATTTTAGTGTAAAGTCTGTGTCTGTATCACTGACATTAGTGTTTTGTTAAGTATGAAAGGTCTCGTATCAATTTATAAAATAGGCATATTTTAAAAACATACAGTATTTCAAAATATTTTCAACCAAGTTCACTAATCTTTATGAAGTAAACATTCACTACCGTAATGCCAATATATTATGGCTACTACTACTACTTTATTTATAAAGCCCTTTAAAACAACCACAGCTGCAACAGCGTGCTGTACACATAAAATTAAGAACATACCGTGTTTTCTGCCATACCCGTCGCTCCACCCTATAAGTCGTATCAATCCAAATATGTCAAAAAAAGGGAAAAATTCATAATTGTGCTGCTTTGTCGTTGCATCTAGTATGTGTCACCGCTGATGCATCGCGTTTGTTACGTGTCACCACTGACAACCTGGAAATGTGGGCCGGTGTTGTGCCAAAAATAGATGGGCTGCCAAATGGCAGCCGTGGGAGCATGCACAGGACGACTTTAACAAGAATTTAACAATATTAACACTTAAAAACAATTATTTGTTTGCTCAAAATTATAGTAAAGGTGTGTCTCAGTCTAACGTTTGCTTACTAAAAGAACTTTAACGGTCGCTGTATTTGCTGCCTCGGTGCTCCGCAAGCGTGCAAAGGGACGAAAAAAGGAGGAACGCTGTCTGTTTCTTCGAAATTTAACAAGAAAAGCACCTAAAACAATTATTTGTTTGCTCGAAATCATAGTAAAGGTGTGTCTCAGTTGAACTTTTACTTAATAAATGCACTTTAATGGACTAATTAGCTGCATTTCGCCGGGGTGGTGCAGCTGGTTTGACGGTTCCAAGCAGCGAGCTGGAAGAAGGTGGCAGGATTTGGCAAGCCGATTGTGTCATTAATAGCTGGTGAAGATTCTCAGTTATCCAGGACATGGTAAATTCAAAAAAGTTCAAGAAAAAAAAACAACAATAAACTATAAAGTAAAGTATAATAAATAAAGTCCAGTTGATTTTGTATTGAACTTTGTTGAATTTGTCATTATAGCTACATTTACATTTTATGATACAACGACATGCCACACTGCCACTCCTACTCTGCTACCATCTAGTGGCTGAAAGTGGTACTGCTCAATTTTTTTTTCTTTCAGAATAAATGAAAACGGTCATATCTCAGCCAAAAATTGGTTTATAAATATGGGAAAAAATCCATAAATATGTCGCTTCTGTCTATAAGTCGCAGGACATGCAAATTATGCAAAATAACCTGTGACTTATAGGGCGAAAAATACAGTACAAGAGTAAAAATATAGTACAAGAGTAAAAATACAGTACAAGAGTAAAACAGTAAGATCAATAAAACTGTAGTGCAGAACAAATTTCAATCTGTGCCAAAATCCAGAGAATAAAAATGTGTTTTTAAAAGAGTTTTAAAATGGACAGTGAGGGGGCTCGTCTGATGAGAAGAGGGAGATTGTTCCACAGTCTTGGAGCGGCAACAGAAAAAGCTCTGTCCCCGCTGAGCCTCCGTTTGGACATTAGAACAGACCGTTCCTTAAATACTCTTGGTACTGTACATACCCAAAACAGAGATGTCTGGGATTTTGCCATAATCTATTGGTGGTACCATCCTTCTCAAGACAATTACAGATTTTTGTGCAACTAGGCTTAAAATAACCAGAAAATATTTTTCTTTAAAATAAAACAGTACTCAATGTGCATTAAACTCCTAAAATAAAACACTTAGTGACCAGTGGCCACTCAGCTACAATGTGTTTGCAGGGGGTCTGGTCCCAGTTGACTTGGTGGTGGAGTCCCCCTCCTGGTCTGGTGCTCTTCTGTTTTGAGCAGTGAGTTTGCAGCGATTCTTACTTGGCAGTTGTTTTGGTGTTTTTAGTGTTTCGCAGCATTTTTATGTTTCTTGTATGTTGTATATTGCTTCTTCTATTTTCTGTGATCGCAGATTTTTGCGTTTGCAGCATTTTTCTGTAGCATTTTTAACTTGTTTGTTTTGGTTTTAAGTTTGCAACATTCATATGTTTTCAGCTCGTTTTAACTGTGTGCAGCTCGTTTTCACCTATCGGCCACCATAAAAGATACTATAATGCAGGGGTGTCAAACTTGAGGCTTGAGGGCCACATTTGGCCCCCGGGCCTTAAGTTTGACACCTATAAAAGTCTTTTTAAATGCTGCATTTAAAACTGTCAGCACCAGGAACATCTCCTCAAGATGGAGGAGTTCATGTATCTGGGCGTCTTGTTCACATGTGATGGTGGGATGGAGCAGGGGGTTGTGTGGAAGAATTGAGGACTCGTCCTCAGTAACGAGGGCATTTCTTCTACTGGTCTGTCTACATTCTAACCTTTTTATGGTCATGAGGTTTGGATCATGACTGAAAGGCAGATCTGAACTGAGCTGACTTTGTGTGGTGGTGGGGTTTAGCGTCAGAGATATGACAAAGAGCTCGGGGGGGGACTCAGAGTAGAGGTGCTGCTCCATCGCATCAAAATGAATCAGTTGAGGTGGTTCAGAGAGAAGCAAGAGCTCGCTGAAGAGATCGTGTATCCTTTCCGGCCTGGAAATCCATTGGGGACCACTAGGAGCTGGAGAGTGTCACTGGGAAGGAAGGTGTCTGGTGTTCTCCTGGACCTGTTGTCTCTGTGACCTGACTACTGTTAAGTGGTAGAAGATGAAGATGGAGATGATGAAGAACTGTTACTTGAAGAAGGTGTGAAGCAGGAGAACTCTTCTGGAGCCCATTGATCGTGTTGTTATCAGTTTGATGAGGGAGTCATTTATGAAGAGTTTTACTCATTTAGAAACAAATTCAATGACCAGTTTTAACCACTAGATGGAGACAAAGCAAATCAATTTTAACCTTTACTAAGCATATGAACTTTTTTCAGCTTCCTGTGCATAACTTATTATGAATACACATATTCACTGTTTTTATGTTGGTTTCTAATGTATTTTATTTTAGAACCCAGGGATGTTCAAAGAGATGATGCAGAAAGTAAACCCATTCAGGTCAAACACACAGGTATTTAACATGTTCTAATTGCATTTAACTTAGGGAAGCCCTGTTTAAATGCTGTTTATGAATTATCACTGATAACTGATGATCAGTCTTAACAACGTTTGCTGGTTTAACCTCTGTTGTAATGTTCTACAGGTGGCAGATGGTGCTTGTGAGACCGACTCTGTGGTTCCAACTCGCAGCATCGAGGTAAAAACTGTTAAACGTGGAGATGTTTGCTTCAGTGAAGGGTTTTCAACAGGATGTTGAGGTTTTGTTCCAGTTTATTTACATCTTGTTGATTAAAATCTTCAATTTCATTTATGATTTCATTTTTACCTTTATTTTATAGTTCTTGAACTTGACACTCTGATCACAGTTTTATGGGATAGTTCAGCTCTTTTGAATTGGGGTTCTGTGGAAATATGCTCAAACAATGTCTTACCTGTGGTAGATAAGCACTTTAAAAGGCTCCATATGGAGAAATATTTTTACAGGACTGATGAGCTAACTGCTGGTCCAAATGTAGCTAAGAACAAAGTAGATCCCTAAATAACTCCAATTTCAAAAGATTCCATCTTGGTTTTTATTATTTATAGTTTCACAACCAAACCTGAAATGAAAATACCGTAATTCTCTGGCTACAGAACGCACCTATCTCTAAGCCGTGCATACTATATTTAAGATAAAACATAATATTGTACATAAATAAGATGCTACTGTTATTAAACCGTGGATATCCATGTTTTTTTATCACAATCTGCGCCCAGCTCCTGGCATTATGTGCAGCTCTTGTTGTAGTACAAGATTCAGCCACTAGATGGAGTTTCGTAGACTATGGCTTGGTGATCGTCATGTCTTCATGATACTTCGCTGTCTGACTCATGGTTAAAACCATTCAACGTACAAAATGAACACAAGAAGTATCTAAGCATAATCACTGGAGAGAACAGCGCTTAACACCTACGTAATCTAAATTATTAAAAAATTATACACCGGTCAATTTTACCCACAAGTCTTAGCGAGGTCATGTGACCAGGAGTCACATAGTACCGGTAAAATATGGTAACTATTCATTAAATTAGTACCATTGATTTTTACTGATTTTTACTTGACTGCTTTAAAAATAAATTTTGACGACTTCTGCTCAGCGGAGCCCACGTGACCCAGGAGGAGAGAAACATCCGGTAAATGTTTTTATCTGAAAAATGCCTTTAACACGGCTAAAAAACAAACAAAATACCAGTAGTCGACCAAAAATCAGTCATCGCTATGTTCTTTGTCGTCCTGCACTAAAGTCTTCGTCATCCTCAGAAAAACGTCATCGAACACCGCTGCTTCCTTATTTGACAGCCAGATCGATCGCTTTTAACATGAAAGCTGCATCATAAGAAATTCTCCGCGTTTTCCATTATCGCTGCAGATGAATAGGTCTGTGCATGAAGCGCAAAATACGGTAACGATCTGAAGAAATTAATGCTTGTCTATCTTGGGGGAGGAGGGTCCTCGAGAGTATACCTCATTGGTTATTACAGTTCGACTTCTGGTCACATGATGACAGAGTGGGTGGAGTTATGGTAGGATATTTGAAACCCTAAGCGAGAGGCTAAATACATGTGGTTACCTGAAAGAAACCATCCAGATGACTTGACTGAACATTGTTGGGCTTTATACCTGGATTATTGAGCATGAACTGTGGTGTTTTGAACCACTTTGACATGACTGTCTCAGAGGAGTTGACTGGAGAGAGGGCGGGCCCCAGAGGCCATTTTAGCACCAGCAATCTGTTTTTTTTGTTTTGTTTTGTTTCTGTTTCTATATTTCATAAAGGGACAATGCATATTAATCAACATGAATACGTCACATAAATATGCCAGATTTAGCCGAAGAGGCTAATTTTCATCTGTAGTCCCCTAGCCGGTTGATGCAAGAGATTAAAAAGTCACAATTAACATACATAGCAACTTACATGACCTATAAGTTATGACCGTTTTACATATAGCTAAAAGTAGTGTAATTTACAGTAAACATTTATAAATGTTTATATAAATATAAAGAAATAAAAACAAGTCACGACCATAAAAGGAGAAAAAGGAAGGAAAAAGTAATAAGTAAAACGTTGATTTAAGATTTATTCAAAACATGAGTACAGTTTCGATTATCTAGTAACCGTTGCTTAAGTGATTTCCTAAAACAGTTTAATGATGTAATATTTCTTAGTTCTTATGGTAGTTTATTCCAAGAATTTGGAGCCCGAACAGAAAATGACAACTGACTAAAGGAACTTATTTTAAATGGTATTTTACAGTCTCCCCTACTAACTGCTCTTGTAGTTTGGTTGTAAATGTAATTGGACAAAGTCTTTTAGCGGCGGTGGAACCAAACCATGAAGGACTTTATGTACAAGTCTGAATACATGATCATGTTGTCCCATCTTAAAAAGACATACTTATGTAATATTTTACAATGATGATAAGAATGTGTTGTTCTTTTTGTCCAAAGTCTTCAGACTCTGCTTATAGAGTCGTTGGAGTATAGTTCTCCATTCTACTATGGAGTACGCTGTTTGTGGGACTCAGTTTTGTTTGGTGGCTGCTCAGATGAAGGAAGTTCTTTAGACGAAGGATGAAATGTCTCAGCACAAAAAAGAAACTGTCCAGATGACATGTATGAACATTGTTGGATTTTATACCTGGATTATTGAGCACGAACTTTGGGATTATCTGAGGGCATTCACTCTGTGTATCACAAAAGCCTACCCCTAAGCGGGGAGGCTATTTGAGCGCCCAGCTCTGTCCAAGGAAAACATTATTCAGTGGCAGGAATTTGCTGAAAGACGACAGGAAGTCTGTCAAAATAAAATATAAAAATATAAATTATGAAAATTATTTAAAAATACACAAATTAGCCAATTCTGCATATAAACCACAGGGTACAAAGTGCGAGAAAAAAGTAGAGGCTTGTACACTGGCAATTACGGTCGCTTTGAATCTTGCTATTGTTCGTTTCCCCAGAGAAAGTGTGCTCTTGTTAATGTTAAAGTACATTAGAGCAGAAATTGATGTAATAGTGTAGCAGAAGAATCTTTCTGGAGCCAGAGTGTCTGCCAACATCATGAAAACGTGTTTATGTAAGTCGACCGTGTTTATTCATGTATGTGAACAATGTTGTTACACCAGACGGATGGGTGAACAGTAGATGCTGGTACTGAAAAGAGGACATTCATGCTGCAGGTTGATTAAACGTGTTGAAATCGACTGTATGTTTAACAAAAGTCCCACCGCAGTCAGACCGAGTCATTTGTTTTAAAAAGTGCCCTCTTCAAAATAGAGCAGATGTTATTGTGCCTAAATTATATTTTGATTTTGGTTCCATTTACTAAAGTATATGAGAATGTGTTTTTGTACTTCCCCAGTTATTTTCACCTCCTAACTGACCCAAGAGGCTATAATGGTTTTGTCTTTCTCTCTGTGTCTGTCTGTAGTGTTAGCAAAATGTCTGAACCAGTGGATGGACTTTAATGAAACCTTCAGAAAATAATCAAATCTAATGGACATATGGAGCTGATTAGCCTTTGTAAACAAGACGATTCAAGATGGCTACCACATCCAGTCGATCTTAGCCAACACAAAAACGGCTATAATTCAGTCATATTTACATAATTCAGATATAATTTGGTGTGGTAGTAGTTGTGCTCCTGCAAATAGTTTCAACCTACACAATAAATACTGTGCTTGCAGTATTTTATCTTTAAACCGTATCCGGATCTGAGATTTCTTGACCATATATTTCTCATGCTTACACTCATACAGCACTTACTTTATTACATGATATTGATATCAACAAACAGTACTTGTGTATTTTTTTAATGCGCAAGGAAACTAGTCAAAACTAAATCCACTTTAACACTGCAGGAGGTTCAAGTTTTGTTTTAAGAAAAACAAAAAAACAATATATATCTGAATTAAATGTGTTTTAGGGCTTGGGAAAAAGTCACTCTAAATTAGTCTCTAATATAACTCAATTTCTTATGTTAAAAAAGCTCCTTAACTTTTAGCACCAAAGTCTGAATGATGTGTCCATATTAGCTGGTGCTTATTTTAGCGCAGTCTAAACTCAGAGTGTGACACATTTTAATGAGACTAATTGCCTCAGTGCGCTTTGAAGTCCAAATGTGTGTGTTTTGTTTGTATTCATTCATTCAACCTTTATTTATACAGGTTAGTCTCATTGAGTCACAAGGACTCATTTTCAAGAAAGACCTGTGGGATTTATGAGATTTGTGGGTCCTCATTAGTCTTTACCGTAGTAGAGATATTTCTTCCTGGGGTCCACACCCTAAAGCATTAGAATACACATTACAATCATTACAACTAGGGATGCACGATATTGGATTTTTGGCTGATATTCGATATGCCATATGTTAAAACTTATTTGGCTGATAACCAATACTAATACCAATATTTTTTTTCCCTAGATCTTCTTACAGAGACTACATAGCTTTCTCTGCTGTGGAATTAAAATACTAGATTATTCTGCATGCTCTTTTGTCAGTTTGGCCTGCTACCAAATGCAGATGCCAAAAAGCGGCTGAAAATGATGTAACACTTCAACTTGGATTATGTTTAATGTCAAATTTATTCATGACATTTACTCTCTAACACAATGACAACACTTGAACAGTGCAAATTTGTAAATTTTCACAAATCTAAACTCAACCTGACAAGTGACAAGTGAAAAGCGCATAAGTAATTGTACATTAATAGATATACTTTACAGTCTCTTAAATTAAAAATTAACTTAAAGCAGAAGCCCAATATGTGGTTATACAATCTAAAAACAGAATATTTTATATTGGTGAGTTATTTTGATGGAATGGCCGATGTCCTGTATTTAACTTTATTGTTTATATCTGCCAATACTGATACCATGCCAATAATATCATGCATCCCTAATTACAACTTGTAAAAAAAAAAAAAAGCCATAAGACACAAGAACAAGTTGTTGAATAGATCACAGTAATTTCAAACATCAAAATAAAATAGGACATGACACACAATTCATTCAACCTTTATTTAGACTATTGGCTGATTGATGGATGAGCCGCACAATTGGAATGGAATCTTTATTTAAAATTAATTAAAATTAAAATTATTTTAACACCTGCTGCACATTTGTGCAGCCCAGAGCTGCAAAAAAGCTTCCTCCTGC